GGTCAAATAGCACAAAAGGCTAAAAGCTCAATTGGAAAGAAAAGCAAAAGACACAGGGATACCCCAGCACCTAGGATAACCTGAGGACCAGTGTGCAGCTTGTCCAAAACGGGATATATATATATATGGCTTTCAGATTCCCTGTTTGAAACCCATGAACACAAGCCAGCAGTGAAATTTAATACACTTCATTACGCTAAAAAGATGGAGCCACCAGATGGCGCTAACACCTTCCTCATAACGGTTTCGAGCAGTGTGGTCTGAGGTCAGGGCGAAGAGGAGGGCTGGCGTTGAGTCAGCCTTACTCCGAGGACGGCGGCCAGATTCACAATACAACACATCTTACACACGCCCTTGAAATAATCGATTTGTAGAGATGTAAAAGAATCAGGTTAGCACTTCAGTAGACAATAGACAATATTCGAATGACCCAGTCGGGGTTGTGATGGATTCTTACGGCTAAACTCTTACTTCCGGTCTTCATGGCTGAGATCTGCTGAAACGACCCATCTATAGGTCCGCTGCATCAAAGACACAATCACAAGGAAACAAAACATTCGTATCCTGACTGTAGTACCTTCTTGTTAACTGCAACTAACACATCGACGGACTTATAGATACTCGATTCAAATAAACAAAGTCTGACGAACTGGGGCCGGGGTTCCAGAACCACAGTACACGTCTAAACCTGGAGAACATGCCGAGACGTAGTGCGATGTATGAGGTGCTCACGCAAACTAGCAATATCTGGCTCATACTGTTTGCCAGAATGTCCAGAAATGTCCATGTGCTGCCATGTGTTTCCCGAGCAGAAAACTTGTACTTCTTCCTGATGTCCATCAAACTCATTGTATGTGCTGGATTACATATGCGGTTTCTACTTGCGGCGAAACCTCTGCAAACCGCCTAGTTCTTCCATTCCAATTCTCCGGCTCATTAACTCCGGTCCCCCTATTGGCAGTTATTGATAAATTAAGCATGCAGTTTGTTCAATTAAGGTATTTTTGGCCCTTCGGGGACAGTGGGCCCTCTAACTATTTTGTAGTATTACTTTAAACAATTACTTGCTTGACGGCTGTCAAATCGTTCAGGGTCTATGGCAATTCACCTTTTAAATGCTGCCTATAAAATCAGCTGATGACGGTTACAATTGTCCCTGGAGTATAGAAGTTGATCATTTAGAGGCTATAAAACCAGAGGAACAGGGGTTCTCCATAACTAGGGAGGTGAAGATCGAGACTGGCAGATAGTTTGCTTTTTACTGTAAGACCAGGCACCAGACTCAAGCAGTCCGCAGCAGCAGAGACGCGGTTGAGGTCTGGGAATCCCTTCCCCTCCCGGTGCTGAGAACGATTACATTCCTGGCCAGACGAGAACCTGCCGTGCCTCAAATTAACACCAGGATTCCCAAGTTACGTTAAAGGTGGGACCGACTTGGAAATAGAACCGGATACCACGGTGCTTTCGAAAGCCCCGGCGTGATCCGTTCACAAGGCTGAAAGACACAAATTAAGCTTTTAAATCGATTTGTAACCTGTTTTTTTTTTCCTTCCTTTTAATATTTTCTAATCGGGTGTGCTTTCAGCAAGCGGATCCGAATGAAAATTAAAGTTTTTAAACACTCAGAAATCTGTTCGCTCGTTCTGATTGTTCTTAAAAATTGTGTCGGTTCATTTAGGTACACCTGCGTCCGCTAGGAATATTTAAATACCCATGGAAAACACCCTGCCCAGCAATGGAAAAGAGCTGCAAGAATTCTGGAAGCTACCCAGTCATGTGGTTAAAGCCGATACACTGGTTTCGTTCAAGAATTGTCTGGATGAGATCCGTGGATCAAGTAAATACTTCGAAACTGGCTAGACTCGCCGTGTAGAGCTGTTTTTACGTTCTTTAAATCTCTTTCTTTACGGAAATAAAGCAAATTGAGTAGCTTTCAAAAATGTCAGTTCCATTGTTTCTGTTATTATTTAGAGTCAATTTAATATCAGTTTTGCTTGGATTTTCGTTAACAGGCAACATCAATAAATTCTAAAAATGTTTCATTCTATAATTCAAAAGTGGACTTCGCAGTGTCGCCTGCGTCAAAAAACAATCACAACAACGCGAGTGTCCGTTAACGTTAATTCACAACATACATTTTTGAAAGGCGTGAGTTTTGTTACCCGGTCTCCATCGCAGTTAGGACTGGACAGCCCAGTACAGCTCCATACTGTTCATGCGCTGGGCCACACTGAAACGCCGCCCTCGGGTGGTTAGTGACCGGGTCGGACTGTCCAGTTTTGGGGGCTTTCAGCGTCCTCGCCGAAACTCTCTCAGACATCCTATTTGCCTCACTCTCAGAATTTCTCGTTTTCGTCTCCTTTGAAAATATTAACAGTAGACTTGCAGTTGGCACGATTCTTTTTCGGGGGAAAAAAAATCGAAATCGGTAAAAAAAACAATTTTTCTCAAGTACAAACTTGCTTAGTTTAAAAAATATTTCTATTGTTGGGGATGTTATCGTTAGTTTGGTATGTCAGACGGCACGGAATGTTTGTCAAAAGGGTAACAATGGAAATTATAATTAACATGTTAACATAATGAATGAACATAAGTATATAGAGAAAACAACTTGAAAAAGTTTTGGGGAATTCTTTCCCAGATTTAAAGTTTAGAGTTGATCGAAAAGGTTGCGATAAAGAAAACGTTGCTCCGCATTTTAAAATAACTTTTAAGTCGAAACGTTTTTAATACCCACACCGGAACGCAATAGAAATTAACAAGAACCACAATGTGAAAGGCAAACCGCTCGGAATCACTGACATGAAATTTATTTTTTAGTGTTAGTAAAGGTATAAGCAATTATGTCGTTTTTTAATGTATTGATAAACAATTTTATTCGAAAAGATCTGGATTAGGACTATAATAAAATGTAAGAACTCTAAACTGAGAAAAAAAACAATGTAAATGTACATGTACATGTTTCATTGATGCGTTTGAAGTGTGAAATATGGGAACTTTGTCATTTTATTTTATGTAACACACATTTGCGCACGTAAGTTTGCACAGATCTGGTTTATTACCGTAAAGGTCCCCAACACTGACGGAAAATATAAATAAAACTAGACTTCATTGAGAACCTAGTTACGAGAAGTCTTAATTGGCCAATCTGACGCTAGACAGGTAACAAACCACATCTATAGTTATACAGTATCTTGGCCTTCCAGTGTGTGGACTGTGCGCGGAAGCACCAGGCCTCAACGAAACATACATATTTCAGGAAAAAACCGTTACTGTATGAATTCAACAGACGAATTGGCCCAGGAAAAAGAGCCGAGTGGCACAGAAGGTAACGAGACTATTGTTTAACAAATAAGACAAAACTCCAGATCCTCTGAAAAAAATTAAAAACGGTTAAGCGCCGCTTGATTCCTTCTCTGAAGTGTCACAGGAGTTAGAAAAGAAGGGTGGGGAGCAGAGGGACAAATTGAAGCTCGTTTTCTTGTCATTAGTTTTTCTATCTTCATTATGAAACGTCAAATGTATATTTTGGCGTTACAGTCTTATACGAATAATGACAACAACTGTTTAAACGGTTTTTTGTTCACATTAACAAGATTACGAAACTCCGATTTGAGACATGTTAACGACATTGCATACTACTGTATTTCCACTTTTGTGAAATTCACCCAAAAATAAACACTTTCCTCTCGGCTCTCAGAAGTCCAACTTTGCGGAAACAGCAGTCAAAGACCACACGGTTTTTGGGGTACAAAAGAGGTTTGGTCAGCTGGAATATAAACAATAATATTCTTGTACTAGTTAATATAAATATATTAAAAAGAGATCACTCTCTTGGAATGTTTTTAAGTTTGTCCTTTTCTTACGAGCCGCACCAAAGCAGTGTTTGGCTGCGGTTTCGACTGTTACTAGACTGTCTCTTTCACATATACCTCTCCAGACCGGATGCAAAGTTCGCTTGTCTCACGTACGAGTTATTGGCACCGAACTGGCCGAGACTGTTCATGGGGGACCCCGACACGCCGAGCAGCTGCTCCGTGTGCTCGGCGCAGGAGCCGGACCTCACAGGCGGCAGGGAGAGGCGGTTTCCCGGGCAGTACATCTGCGAGGCACCCGGGGAGAAGCTGGCCTGGCTCATCGCGGGCAGGTGGGGTGGCGACGAAGGCGGGTAGGGGTACGCGGCCAGGCTCGATGAGATGGCGCCGCTGGTTCTGCTCAGCACGCCGCCAGAGGGGTTGACGGGCTGGGACTGGAAACAGGAGGAGGCGTCGGGGACGCTCACCGAGCAGCTGGGAGGCATGCCCCCCAGGTCCGTGTTCAGGCCGAGCGCCGGAGCGTTGAGCTCCACGGCCGCGGCGGGCTGCATGAGCGACTGCTGGCTGATGAGGTTGTCAATGCTGAACATCCTGTGCTGGCCCTGCCCAACCCCCGCTGAGCCCTGGTAGTGGTGCAGCACTGCGGGGTGAGGGGAGCCCATCTGCGGGGCGTACCCGGAGCCCATGCCCGGGTACAAGGTGTTGGGGTACGACGGTCTGCCCACGGGGGTGGGGGTGAAGGCGCTGGAGGTCTGCATGTAGCCCGGGTAGGTGCTCACATCCGTGCGCTTGAAGCGCTTTCGCCGGCGCAGGAAGCTGCCGTTGTCGAACATGTCCTCAGCCGCCGGGTCCAGGGTCCAGTAGTTGCCCTTCCCGGGTCGCCCCGGCTCCCTGGGGATCTTGACGAAGCAGTCGTTGAGGGTGAGGTTGTGCCGGATGGAGTTCTGCCACTTCTTCGAGTTCTCCCTGTAAAAGGGGAATCGCTCCATGATGAACTTGTAGATGCCGCCCAGGGTGAGCTTCCTCTCCGGGGAGTTGGCGATGGCCATGGCGATCAGGGCGATGTAGCTGTACGGGGGCTTTCCTCGCTGCACCGGCCGCTTCCGGCGCCGGCTGCCCGAACTGGGCAGCTGCTCGTCAGCGTGGCCCGGAGCGTTGTCCTCCCGGTCCGCTGCCGGGCTGCTCCCCCTGGGCTCGGACTTGATCAGCACGCCGTCCTTGCCTTGGCCGGGCACTGGAGAGTCCAGGTTGACGTTTGGAGAGACGCCCAGGGGACTGGCGGCCTCGGTCGGGGAATGCTGCGACTCGGCCGTCATGTTGCACATTCCCGAAAAGTAAGTGAAGTTTGCAAGATTCATAAACGGCTGTTAGAGCTGCTGCCCTGGCAGTGACTGCACCTGAACTCAGAGGGGGTCGAGGATGCACCTGACTGTCTGTGCGTGCGGCCCCGCGGGGATTGACTGCTCCGTGTCCAGGTGCGGGCAGTCTTATATGGCACCGCGGGCTGGAGTGACGCCACCCAGCGCTCAGCCCGCACGGACGCGCTCTGTAGGGGGGGCTGTGCTCGCTGCTCACGGCTCTGTAGGGGGCGTCCCCGCAAAACCCGGCCCGGTCGTCCACATTCGGCATTGATTTATTTATTTTCCTCTGTCAGCGCCTTTCGAAGATTTCAGCATCTTTACTTTCCAATGTCTTTACTGGGACTGTTTAATCTCAGCCTACAGTGGAAGTCGATCGTTTCCGTCGAACTCCAGCCTCGTCTTAGTCAGGTGCATTTTTTAAACGAGAAATTGAAAAATGGCTCACTCACATTATGAACCTCGGGCTTCGTTCATTTTTACACATAATCACACATCTTTTTAACGATTACCATATTGAAATAAGGACGATAGGCAGCAGTCTCATGATAAAAATCCAGTTTTTTTCCCTGATCAAATAATTACAAATTCTGAAAGCAGTCTATGTGTAGAAATGTATACAAGAACGTTATAAATTATTTGTATATTATTTTTCTAAAGGTGCGGATCCTTAAAATAAAAGTATACGGGTAATAAACTCGGTGTTTCAAAAAAGCTATGTATGAAATACACATAGTTCACTAAAAATATAAATCAAGTTTGTAATTCATCGGTAGTTTTCTACTTCTCTAGTAGTCATACCTACTCTATAATATTTTTAAATGCAATTTATGACAATATTTGTCAAGCAAGCTAAACGGGTAAAATAAACATTTTTATCATCTCTTTCGGCAGTCATATCTGATGAAATATATCTGTATTGTTACAGCTGTTATTGAGCAGATATTTGCTGTCAAAGATAATAATCCTGTTTGTGTTATAAATATTTTGTGTTCAGTTTGGGCACCGTGTTACAAAACAAAGTTTACCCTGGAATCAGCACCACGAAGAGTACCCAGACACGTTCAAACTTTGCCCTACTCTGACAGGCTAAAGGAACTGAATCCTTGTTGGACTGAAAAGAGATGTCTACCAGGGCACCTAATTCAAGTAATCAAAATCCTCAAAGACGTCCATAAAGCCCAGACAGCAGACTTTCTCTGACTCAACAGGAAATCACAAACCAGAAGACACAACTGGAAACTAAAACTGAGAACGGGAGGCACCTCTGTACACAAAGGGTTGTAGGAGTGTGGAACAAGGACGATCGACAACTATCTGACACCGATCCCCTGGTTTCTTTCAAGACACAGCTGGGTGAGCTTCTCGGATCACTTCCGAAAACCAAACAAGCTAGATGGGAGGGGACGCCCTCCTCTCGTTAATAAAGCATTAGCTTTATCGTTTTATTTCGGATAAACAGTGACTATTCTACCATGATCTGCTATCGACTACTATCTACTATTCAGTGACGCCTCATTTATTAACCTTGAACCTTCTTTAAAACAGGAACCGTAAAGCACAAGCGAGCAGACCTTTTCTTTTAAGTATTATTCATAAAGTTCGACTGTTTTGTGGGAGGAGCGCTCACTGATCTCTTGTCTAGGTCCAATTCTTCCAAAGCACCGGCTCTTAATGTGGTGCATTTGAGCCTCCTTATTTAAATACAGTAATCGATTGTATTGGTTTCTGGCGTTGATTCTCGTTCAGCAATCGCCGAAGAACGTAGTGAAAAAGGCATTTTTTTTGTCGAGTTAGTCCTTTTTAAATTAGATCAGGTGGGGAGCTGCGTCAGCATGCGTAGGCTGCAAAGGAACAAGTAAAGGTTTATTTCAGGCTGAGAAGAGAAGAAAGGAAACACAACGTTTCGGCTGCGGAGCCTTCATCGGGAGTGGACACAGCCGATACGTTGCGTTTCCTTTCTTCTTATGCTGAAAAGAGACGAAAGAAAACACAACGTTTCGGCTGTGGAGCCTTCTCACCCGAAGAAGAGCCAGACACACCCGAAGTTTTCTTTCTTCTCTTTTCAGCAAGGAATAACCCTTTACTCCTTTTTTAAACGATACTGTTAGTGTTTCCCTCTTCGAACTGACCTCCTAGACCGTATAGCGACAGCTATATATTATTTCGGTATAAAATAGATCGCACGAGTTCCTTCTTCGTTATGGAATATGCTCAGAAAAGCAGAAGAATTGGGGGGTGGCCTGTTACGGCACGATCACGCCACAGTTAGACAAGTGGGGACAAGGGCTGGGGTGACGGAGAAATACTTTAAGCACACAGGTCACTGAGAGACAGGATACCAGCTGCCAAATCACGGAAAAACCTCTCAAGCAATCAGCCAGAGAGATATTATCTGCCCAGTCGCTGTCCCCATTTTGAATGTCTCCCAAAAGCCTCTAACATACTACCAGTAATTTGAATTAACCGCATTCTAACATACTCTAAAATATTCTGCTCAAATGAAATCAGTTTTATTATCACCAACGTTAACTGTAAGAAAAGTGAATGCTTGTTTTGTAGCCTTCTGACCTCGAACCATTTCCGTTTTCCCAAATAAAAAGACCGCTCTCCAAGGTCAAAGATGAACGGCAAAAAATACCTCTGTTCTCTTCTGTTTCCCCTCTTGTTCCGAGCTTACCAGCTGTTAGTATGCTGTAGATATCACAAATCCCAAATGTCTAAGCTTCGTCAAGTTTACAACAGCCTATTACAATTCTGCACGGGTACAGGTGAAACCGCGTGATAATTAATTTAGCAAATTCGCGCGCAATCTTGGCTTATCAACACCTCTTGTCCGGACTTTTCATTATAGCCTGGTAGAATGTAAATGGGAAATAATTTTTATATCTTTTTCATTCCTTTTCACCTATCAAATGTTTTTTTTTTTCTCCGAAGTCAGCAATAAATGTGTCTCGCAGGTTAACAGCAGTAAAGTTGGTATCTGAGAGTTAACTAAGTAGTGGATCCTGCCGGTCGTCGTCATTTCTTTAAATATTACAGGATTTTACCAACAAAGTTAAGTCAGATCTGTCTAAACTGTGTACAGCTCTCAAGATTCAAGTACTCAGTTTATTTCCAACGAACCTTTTACCTCTGCTTTTTAACTAAAAAACGGGTTCTGTAATATACAGACGGGAAATTTGACGGAATTCGTCAGTGTTTTCCACAACATAACCAAACCCCTATGAATTTCTCTGAGACGGTAAGAGTGTTATCTGCAGAGCTCTGCCGCCCTTGTGTGCACTCAGTCGCTGGAGGACACGAGTCGCCTAGAGAATCCTGTAACCAGTGTGAAAACACCCCTATAATCTGGGAAGACCTTAACCACCGCAACAAGACTGACCTCTAAAACCCTTCCGATGAAGCCAGACTCTCACAATCTTCCCAAGACAGGAAGCTGATCCCCCGAGATAAATAGAAAAGCGATGTTGCCTTAGGTGACCCCCCCTCCCCACGCCCAAATCGACTTATTTTGTTAGTTAAGTCATTCTGTGCAGCATAGCTGAGCGGGCTGTGTGTGGACATCAACATCATGACCGTCACAGCTCTCTCGGTCCAGCGCAGCGCCCGTTCCGCCCCCCTTTTTTTTTAAAAAAAAGCCTCTTCCGCCTCTATTGAGCCTCTCGGTGTGTGACGAAAGCGGAAGCTCCTTCCCACAAATGTCTGAGCAGGTTCTGCACACCTATCGCCTCCTGACAGGAGGTCTTCCCCTCCTGGGATTAGTTCAGGATTTCCTTGGACACCTGAGATCGGTTCTGGAAATCCCCGCTCTAGTCGTCATCTGTTCTGTTGTTTTTTGCTACAAGTCCACTTCATTGTCATTTCATCATCTTTTCCTGATACCTCAATCGCACACACGCTTCCACAGATGAGACGCCTGTTGTCCCTTTGCTTTTTTGTCTTTGGTTTTTGTCTTTGTGTTAATACCAGCAGCACACGATGCTAAAAGACCTTCTTTTTTAAGGCACTGAGCTATTTGCAAATTTAGAATCATATTGGTTTTTGGTTGGCCTGTCCTCTTGTGCCATATACTTTGATTTTCTCAAATAGGGTGTATGTTAAACATGACATCTTGTCGAATTACTTTAGGGCCGGCTTTCACGTTACTTTCTTGAGCGTATTGCACTTGGGGCTCTTGTGGTTTGGTGCAAACGTAATATAATGTCCTTAAAAAGTACAGATGCATTATTTCTGAAATCTTTTTCGTACAGCCCTCCACTGTGTCATGCTAAACGTACTCATGCGACTGTTTGGCGCTCAGTGGGCAGCAGGGTTTTGCCGAAGAGGAGGGAGTGTTCCATCAGCTGGGGCGATGGTGCCGAAGATGAGGAAGATGCAGAGTCCTGCCGTGGCCCAGCGCGTGCAGGGCCAGCCTCATTCCTCGGATGCCCGTGCAGACAGCCAGAGGAGTTTGCTGTGCAAATCCGCCCTAGAAACAACATGTTTGACTTCAGCTGGAGCGCTGTCACGCCGCCTAAATCAACCAATTGAAAAATAAAAACAAATCATTAAAACAAACGATTTAGCTGTGAAAACTCCGGGGGGGACGTGTGTCAAAAAGTAATGATGTCTTTGCTTTCAAACACTCCCTGGGCACTGCAACGAAGGGAAGCCTCTCTGAAATTTCTTGTCTCGTACTGTGTATTGATCCGTTTCAAAGGGGACACATGTTTGCAGGTGGCGCACAGTCATCACTGCTCAGTACAGAGAGGGCTGGAGAGGCTGTATCTCCGCCTAATCCCTGTGCTCTGCCCTCCTCGCCTCTCCCCTTCCCTTCTGCATGAAGCGGACAACTCGTTTAAAAACTGTTTGTTCGTCTGCACCAGCCTGGACAACTACTGCCCACTCCTCACAGATTTACACAAAATAGCCAGTGTCCAAAATTGTGCACACTGCCAGGCTCTTCTGTTGTCACCCATTTCTTCAGAGGTGCACACTAGTTTTATTCTCCCAGTTGTGCCTTGTATGTTACCCGGTTATGGGTTTTTTCTCATGGACAAATGCAGATGTATAGATGTATTTGTACATCTCACACGCACGTGCCATGAGAGCATGCTTACATTAAGATAGCATATGTTGGCATGTTTGAGGGCTCCCAGCTTCTTAGAGGCAGAATTGTAAAGAAATATTTTCTTGAACATTATTCTGTGTTGTAGATTCAAAAACCAGGACCCCCCCTGAGTCCTACTCAATCCCATCGCATCATCACAATTTCAGATGCCTGCCGACTAATGAGATAACCTCCAACTATTGACAAGCACACACACACAATCAGAATGTCATGTAAAACTGCTGCATTTATGCGGAGCAGTTACAGACTGGTTTGATTAATATTTTTCTGCAACGTGACTGTGTTGTGTCTTAGGTCATTAAGAAGAGGCTTTTTTCACACTTTGGCACAGAGACATTTTTACTGTACTGCCTTTTGAAAGGCTTAGTGCGATTCTGAAATGGAACAAAAGATCTTTAAACTATGGTCACCTCTTAAAGAGTATTTGCCAGTGGAGTTAACAGAATTGCTGTGTAAGGGTCAATGTGTTAAACTGGAATCTCCTTAGGGGTTCTGCGGACTAGGGAAGGCGGGGAGTTATGTGGATGAGAAGGACGAATGGATCTGGAGAGGAGACAGGATAATTATAATAATAATTGCTTACACTTATATAGCACTTTTCTGGACACTTAACTCAAAGCGCTTCACAGGTAATGGGGACTCCCCTCCACCACCACCAATGTGCAGCCCCACCTGGATGATGCGACGGCAGCCATAGTGCGCCAGAACACTCACCACACACCAGCTCTCAGTGGGGAGGAGAGCAGAGTAATGAAGCCAATTCATAGAGGGGGATTATTAGGAGGCCATGATTGGTAAAGGCCAATGGGAAATTTGGCCAGGACACCGGGGTTACACCCTTACTCCTTTCGAGAAACGCCCTGGGAATTTTAATGACCACAGAGAGTCCACACAGAGTAACATCCAGGATGGACGTAACTAGAGAGCTAGAAGTGAATTGGAGACTGGAGAATTGTTTTTGTATCTGCATCTTTCTGATATTGTATACTATTTTCATAATGGTGTTTTCTTGTTCTCTTAATCTTACTGCTCTTTAATGATTGTATGTGAATGTTGTTGAAAATTAATAAAAAAGGGAAAAAAAGCAACAGTGTACAGATTAAAAATCACACTGTTTATTTTTATATTGTTACTTTTTTTTTAAAAGAGTCTCAGATTTATCTGCAATGGACTGGCATCCTGTCCAGGCTGTATCCTGCCTTGCGTCCTTTGCTTGCTGGGATAGGCTCTGGCTCCCCTGCTACACCATACTGGATAAAGTGGGTTAGGAAATGGATGCATGGACAGTGTCATGTTTATCAAATTGGAAAGTTATTTTTAAATTGTATAAGTGACAGCAACAGCCCGATAGAAAATGATTTTGTTTTCCATTTACCCGTGGTTGGGGAAAAAACGGTTGGAATTCTCTCAGAGCTGAAGTTGGACGTGCAGCTCACTGGGCATCAGAGCAGAAGGCTTTGAAAATGGTCACAATTTTCTAGTCACCAAACTAAACAGAGCGCAGATGGTCTCCCTTCACTGAACAACACGAGTGCTGACATCTGCGCGCTTTCTTAACACTACCCTGACCAAGATTGGAATGGAAAGGCTCCTCCACCTTCTCCATGACTTGTATCAATGTTAACATTGATTATGAATGTTTCGCTCTTTTTTGCCTGAAGGAAAGAAGACTCCTGATGTTAATACACTAAAAAGGAAATGTTCAACAACTGCCGGGACTAGAAAGATTTCTCTACAAGGATGTCTTGATACAAATTCAACAGCTTTTTTTTTCCCCCTCAGGTAAATCGCTGAGGTAGACGCAGCGAGGCAAGGTAGTGGCTTATGAATATGACACCGCTTGCTCCAGGGAAATATTCGGGAAACATTTCCTCAGACAGAACATAAAAGAAGAATTGGAAATGGGCCTTTCACGGGCTGGCAGGAAAAGACTGGGCAATGATTCAGTGCAGAGTCATACCGCCCCTCCCCATCGCCCCCCCATACACAAAGCCAGTGGAAGGGTGCTCACAGACGGCTGCCTAACAGCTTCGGACAGCCGTGGGATCCTGCCTGGCTCTATCTGAGGGGAAATCTGCCCCTGGGAGCGATCAGGTCAGGCTTGACAAACAGGCATGGAGGCCAGGAAACAGCGCCTGGGGCAGCAGTGGCCTCGCGCTAATCCCCCTGCCACTCCGC